CCTACCCTAAAATTAAGGAACGCTCGACCTCGACACGTGATATCGAAATGGGCGAAATCGCCTCTTGGTATCACTAACTCTCCTGACTCCTGACTCCTGACATGAGAGATGTTAGAGGTGGTACGGATTCATTTGCAAAACACGGTATTCATTACTATAAGCTACATTGCATTACAGTGCATTACGTTATTACGGTACAATTTTAATGAGCCTGTCCCCTTGTATAAGGCAGATGACGAAAAAAATTGAGCCGTCGTCTGAGGGTACGTCACGATCTTTCCATTGCTGCTCCTTTTCAATTGCCGTTGGGTACAACAGCTCGATCGTTCGTCGGGCACGGTTTCGGTCTGGCGAACGAAGCGGCTGCGGTGACCTTGGCCTCGGAGCCGAGACGTCGGGCAGGCCGCGCTCCCCCACGGCACGTTCGTGGCCGGGGCGTTGAGAGAAACGACGGGATTGGAGGGGATCGTTGGCATGATTTCGCCGATTCTCTTCTCAGAAATCTGGGTTATATTGAATTTTTAAAGCCACATGCAAACTCTCACATGTAAATCCAAAGTTTATTCTAAAACCTCCCCTCCCTCCCTCAAAATATGAAAGTGTATTCCATCAGGTCTTTCCTCGAGAAACGACACAACGTTCATAAATTCGCGTAGAATAAGCCAAAATTCGGGGGGGGGGGGGGGGGGGCGATGCATATTTTCTCGAGTACGCTATACTTTTCCGTTGCCTATTTAGAATCGCCATGATTTTGACGAGCCAGAGGAAATCTGGCCAATCTAGCAGAGAATAATCCGCGATGGATCTCTGCGATGGGACGTGAATAGGGGCGTGCACGGCATCGGGATCGACGTACTTTGCTGACTGAAACGGGCGACCTCCTTTAATGCGTGGACATCCACCATGACGGAATGGACGGAGGCAGAAGCCTCAATCCTTGAACGGAAAAGTTTTTTCTTTAAAGTGTTGCGAGGGCTCGAAGTGGCTCAGGGAAATTTATATTAAATTTATATTAACACACAGTAAAATTCCCGCTTCGTGCAAGAAACTTGCAGAGTTGTACCGTATGCTTAAGAAATGCAATGAATAATTATTTATCTCCTTAGAAAAGGGCGATGATACTTATGTAAAGGGTTAGTTATTTCTTGCTTGGGAAAAAGGAAGATCTGGAAGAAAAAAATAGCTAGGAATAGGTTCTCCGATTGACATTAATGCTCAAATTTCTGCGGTAATCCGAGCGATCAACAGACCGAATAACAATTTCTTGCTGCGATCCGATCCGATGAAGACAACAAACGCAATACCGGAATACAGTCGAAGTCGTTCAATACGTTCGCAATTAATTTTCAAAATTAATTAATTAATTAAACTGTCACTCGAATAACCCTTCGAGTACCGCAGGGAAAAAATAAGAGCGACGGTTTCCGATTGTGTGGTCGTAGGGCGACGATGGAGTCCAGGAATGAATCATCCCCGAGCGACCCGCCGTCTGGGCCGAAGTCCCGTACTTCATTGACTTCATACATTACCATATCGGGAACTCATAAATCTACTTCCTTTCCTTTCTTCCTCTGCAGTACCTGTTCAGTGTGCCAATGCTTCGTCTCGTGTTGGATGGTCTTGGAATCCCATTCCCGATTGGTGCCTCCAAGGAGAGACCAATTAGGAATGGGAAACAATTTTTTTTTTTAGATTTTAACTGGGGAGAGGACTGTGTTGGCCTCCAACGCCGTTCAACATTTGGCAATTTCTTTCCCCTCTTTTTTTTTAATGGCGCCTGAAATTTTGGCGAAATATATAAAACTCAGAAAATTCATAACTACTCAAGCTTCTCATGAAAGTGAGGGGATTCCTCATATTTTCCTGAATCTCCTGTTGTGCCCCTACATTGGGACTGAGTACATCGTACTACCAACTTTCCTACTCCATTATTGAATTGTCATAATTCTGCACGAATTATGAATTCCTGACGTAAACCTGTCGCGCACTGAAGTTATTTGATTATGTCGGTGATACACTGACTCCACGAGTGATGAGGGATATGAAACGTGACTTTATTTAAAAGATATCACTCTGATGCACCGCATAAAAAAGAGACTGTACCTGGGAACACGATACATATTAGCCCGCCTTACCACGCACCAACCGAGAACACCAAAGGAATACAGATCGAGGAAGGCTACACAACTTTTATGTTCCTCTGCTCCTCGTGCCGGAGATCACGATAAATACGAGTTAAGATCTGGGAGGGGGATTGGCGCGGAGCACGTCGGCCCGCTTGTGCATGCACTTCATGGTGCTGGAGAGGATCCAGCGGCAGACCTCGTTGAAGACGCTGGAGGGCACGAGGCTCGGTAGCTTGTAGTCCATGTTCATCATCCACGCGAAGTTCGTCATCTCCGCGTTGTCCTCCTTCTCCCAGAGCACGAAGCAGCTGTGGAAGTTCTCGGACCTGGGAGCATATCGGAACATGGGGAAAACCGTTAAGAGAACCGGAAATAACATAGGGGAAAAAAAAAAAACCAGAATGTTCCTGACTTTCAACGATGATAAAGAGGGTGTTTCAAAAGTCGCGCAACCCTATATTTAGCATTTTTTGAGGAACTTGCATTGAGTATTGACCGAATTGAGATGAATTTCTGAATGATGAGTTAATAACTTACAGCATTTACAGTTCATGTGAAAATTACGGGACCCACGATGCCTATTGCAATTGTTGATGTGACTGTTTTCCAGCTTGATACATCATGATACATAATGATACAGCTTGATACATCATGATACATAATGATACAGCTTGATACATCATGATACATAATGATACAGCTTGATACATCATGATACATAATGATACAGCTTGATACATAATAGCACTAGTTTCTATATAGGGCTGCGCGACTTTTGAAACACTCTGTATATAGCGTGAAAGACCACCTTGATATGTGGAAAATCTACATTTACGGCATAGAATAATGGAGGAAGTAAATAAGACCCCTGTGTTGCTTTTGGGAAGAACAGATGCAAGGAATTGGAAAAACGTTCAAAGCATTAACATGATACTTCATAGCGCTACTTGCATTATCGTGAAACTCACAGGCTCCACGAAAAGACAAAACCCTCAAAAGACAAAACCCTCAAAAGATTCGTCACCTGACGACGCCCTTGACGGGCGGGACTTCGGGGATCTCGAAGGTCTTGTAGGCGAAGATGTGGACTCCGGAGTCGGTCTTGGCGTATTTCCTCAGGTTCACGTTGTCCCGGCTCGACACGAGGGCGCTGAACTCGTGCGTCGCCGAGTACATCACGATCGTGGACTCGTCCAGTTTCTGCAAAATTTCGTGCAGGGTTCGAAGTGCTGCCTTCTGCTGCCAATTGGCAGCCAATTATGGCTTCGTCCCTTCCGCCGAAGGAATCGGAAATAGGAGCCCAATCAAATCAATCGTCCTCAATTTTCTTTAAAAATTCGGATCGCCGAATGCGCATTTAAGGAACGGCGAATCGCCCGTAATTTCTAACCTGATTCTGCTTCGCCAATCTCGCAGGTTCAATGGAATCAATTAGTCGAACAATTGGCAGAAACTGCGTACCTGCAGGCATCGAACCACCTTGAAGGTGTCGTTCCAGGTGGGAATAAGGTGGAGATTCTTCTCCGGGTCCAGGTCGTCCAGCCAGTGATCCACCGGGGCATCCGCGATTCCCTGTTGCAAAAAAAAAAAAATTGCATTAATCTTGTTAACTCTGAGATTTCAAATCTGCCAAATTGAGTCTCGGTGAGAAGGGCAAGGGACCAGCCGAAGGAAACTTGTAATTATTTATTATTTATCATTGTTACAGCATGTTACGAACGAACCTCCTCTGACACTATCGACGGTTGGAGGTTTCGATAGTTTTTTCGACCATCGTGATGCATCGGAAAAAGACCTTTAAGGGGAAATCGGATGGACGGAGGCGGTAAGATGCATCCACCTGTGTGGGGAAAGGAAGGCGCGATCAAATTCTGGAAATGCTGGT